GTCGCAGGCAGATGGTATTTGTGGCACAAGTTCCAATGAATCATCTGAGCAACGGTGTTATGCCTCTGCTTGTAGTCTGTCTGCGCAATCTTCTTGCAGCAGCTGAGGATGTGATCTATTGTTCCATCTGCCTCCTTGCAGAGTCTACATTTGGGATCTGTTGTGACTTTTCAATTCTGGCTTGATGGCATTGGTTCGAATGGCTTGTTCTTGGGCTGCCAGAATCAGGCCCGTCTCCTTTTTCAGAGTTCCATTTGTGAGCCACAGCCATGTCAGGTTTTCTTCTTGTGTTACAACTTTGGGCTATCCAACATTTTGCCACGGAAACTGTATATTGATTGTGTATTAGATTAGGTTATTAACTGTTTTATATTGGTGTTGAATTTTGCTGTGTCCTGTGTCTTGTGAACCGCCGTGAGTCGCCTCCGGGCTGAGAACCGCGGTATAGAAGTAAAGTAAAGTAAATAAATAAATAAATAATGAATTTTTATCTATGTTAAATGTTTTTTTTAAATGTTTTAACTATCTTTGTATTGTTGTGGGCATCGAATTGTGCCGTCCACCATGAGTCGCCCTCGGGCTGAGAATGGCGGTATAGAAATATAGTAAGTAAATAAATCTATATATATATAAATGCTCTGTGCATAATGAGTTCCTTAAAAACAAAAGAACCAATGAACGAAATCACTCCAAATTTGGCAACAAAATGTCTCACAATACAAAACTTTGGCCTCCCAGGTGTTTTGGACTCCAACCAGGGGCGGCTCAACCCATTACGCAAAGTAAGCATTTGCAGTATAGTTGATTTTGCCCAGGGGCGCTCTTGAGGCACTCTTGGGGGAAAATAGACCTTGACATATGCGAGTTGTAGTTACTGGGATGTATAGTTCACCTACAATCAAAGAGCATTCTGAACTCCACCAATGATGGAATTGAACCAAGTATGGCACACAGAACTCCCACGACGAACAGAAAATATATATCAGTGATTGGTTGGGGGGGGGGGGGTTGCTTACAGTTGAAAATTACCTATGGCTGCCTCTATTATTTATTTATTTATTTATTTACTCCATTTGTATACCGCATTTATCAGCCTGGGACGGCGACTCAATGCGGTTTACAGTAAAATGTGCAACACTGACAATATATAAGACAGACATACACAAACAACACACATGTAGTCATCAACGCCTCGAATAGAATCAGATCCCGTTCTCACAGTCGTTTTACCGTTCCTTGTTCAGTATGCCGTCTTCCTGAGTTAGTTGTAATTGCATAATTATCTGAACGCCTGTTCATAGAGCCACGTCTTAACCCTCCTCCGAAACGCCAGCAACGAAGGGGCCTGCCTGATGTCCGCTGGTAGGGCATTCCATAGCCGAGGGGCCACCACCGAGAAGGCCCTGTCTCTCGTCCCCGCCAACCGCGCTTGTGATGCCGGCGGGACCGAGAGCAGGGCCTCCCCGGACGATCTTAACGTCCTCGCCGGTTCATAGGTGGAGATGCGTTCGGAGAGGTAAGTGGGGCCGGAACCGTGTAGGGCTCTACCTATGATTATCAAAAAAAATTATCCCAGTCTTCAAATTTCTAGCATTGCAGATATTAGTTTTGCATATTCGCACCAAGTCCTGCATAGCATCCCCCATGGATATCGGGATCATGCTATATTTGTAAAGACTCAAGTGAAGGTTTACATTACTGGAATGCTAGAAATGTGAAGGCCAAAGGAAAAAAAAACTCATTTGGAGAGAGCAGATGTCTTACTTGGTGGAGCTCCACTCCCATAGCTCCAACTTTGGTCACACCTCAATTTCTCTCTCTGGCATGTTCCCGTCTGCACATCCTCCCCAAACAGTGGCTTGAGTCATTGCTGAAGGCAGGGAAACTCAAAACAGGAACAGCATGTAAAGGCCAACTCAGAACAACAAGAAAGAGAGTCTTGCAGCACTGCAAAGGAGTATTTTTGTTGCAACAGGCCAGTGCCACTACCCGTCTGGAAATAAAAATAGCAGAACACTGAGCTGGCTTTCATGTTTCATTCCTCTTGTTAAGAGGGACAGTTTAGTGAAGGGGTTGGGGAGATGCTCCTGACAGATACATAACAGTTACAGAAAATGCATGTGTGAATGCTTGCACTACACCGGAATCTTGAGGTGCACTACACTGATCCCAGTGTAGTGCACCTCAAGATCTCAGTGTAGTGCAAGCATTCACACATGCATTTTCAGCAAGTTATTTGTGAGTGAATTCGATCAGCTTTGTGCATTGCACTAAAGCAGTGGTTCTCAACCTTCCTAATGCCACGACCTCTTAATACAGTGTCTCACGTTGTGTGAACCCCAACCATAAAATTATTATTATTGCTCCTTCCTAATTGTAATTGTGTTACTGTTATGAATCATAATGTAAAATTCTGAAATGCAGGATGTATTTTCATTCACTGGACCAAATTTGGCACAAATACCCAACAACAGCGCTCCATGCTGTCATGTCAGCCACATGACCTTGGAGGTGTCTATGGACAACACCGGCTCTTTGGCCTAGAAATTAAGCACCAACTCCCAGAGTTGGACACAACTGGACTTAATGTCATGGGAAAAATTTTACCTTACGTTACTCAATATGCCTAAATTTGAATACTGGTAGGGTTGGAGGGAAAATTGATTATGTCATTTGGGAGTTGTAGTTACTGGGATTTATAGTTCACCTACAATTAAAGAGCATTTTGAACTCCACCAATGATGGCATTGGACCAAACTTGGCACACAGAACTCCCACAACCAACGAAAAATACTGGAAGGGTTTGGTGAGCACTGACCTTGAGTTTTGGAGTTGTAGTTCACCTACATCCAGAGAGCATTGCAGACTCAAACAATGATGGATCTGGACGAAACTTGGAACGGATGCTCAATATGCCCCAATGTGAACACTGGTGGAGTTTTGGGGAAATAGACCTTAACATTTGGGAGATGCAGTTGCTGGGATTTATAGTTCACCTGCAACGAAGAGCCCTCGCCTGCTCCACACCCCTGCCTGCCGGCGGGAGAGCAACACAGGCAAGGATGGCTTCGTGCGCAGCCTAGCCACCCACGGAGCCACTCGCCAATCCCTTGCTTCCTTCTGCCATCAGAAGGAGATGAAGGAAGGGCGGATGGCTTCGCGCGCGGGAGTGCCAGTGGCTCAGGGGGTCGGCCGCCATTTTCGAGGTTGCGTGGCCAGCCAATGCAGCTTCGCGACCCCCAGAAAATGGCGACCTTCGCGACCCCCAGGTTGAGAACCGCTGCACTAAAGCATGCAGGTTGGGGAGGAGAGGAAAAAAAACCCTCTCTCTTTGAAAATATATGCTGGAGATTAACAACACAAATCTGCTGTATTGCAGTACAACTTGAGCATCCCTTATCCGGAATTCTGCAATCCAAAATACTCCAAATCGCAGGAATGCCCACATATGTGGCTGAGATAAAGTAGTGACACCTTTGCTTTCTGATGGTTCATTGTACACAGATGTTGTTTCACACACAAAATTATTTAAAATATTGTACATAAAATAACCTTCAAGCTATCTGTGAAACATAGGTGAATTTCATGTTTAGACACGAGTCTCATCTTCAGGATATCTCATTATGTATGTATATGCAAACACAGATATTCCAAAATACATCTGGCTCCAATATTTTGGATATGGCATGCTCAACTTATATAGTATCTTATAGTATAAGAGGGATATGGATCTCAAAGGGTCAGGGCCAAGATCCTATATCACGGTGTACGTTTTATGAATCTGTAACTACATTGTATCAGTGGCCATTGTACATTGGGCTGTGGCACA